ATCATTTCTTACTCATTGGTTTTTGAGACAGAGCCAATAACCTGGCAACCAAGACATTTTATTGTCCTCTAATGAAGGGAATTTTTTTGTTCTATTCATCTTCAATCAAGGCAGTACAATGAACTCCAGAAACAATAAAAAATAAATTTAGATTTGTAGACCATCTAGCGGCGAGTATAAGCACTGAATCGAGCCGAAGGCACGTCGCCGTCATAGCCCCTCCCTTCCCGAGCTGAGCAAAACTTGTTGTAGTAGACAGTTGGAAAGGCGTCGTGCTAAGGCCCCATAGGACCAGCACACCAGAATAGCAATAGCCGTCATTGAAGAGTTGCGTAGATTGGAAGGATCCAACTTGAAGACGCACAAACTATATGAACTACGACAAGATCCGAGCAAATCCACCATTGATAGTGTTAGAGTTAACCTTGTTTTATAGGTGTTCATCATGGTTATTTCGTCACATGAGTTCAGTTATGCATGTAGTCGTGTCCATCCACTAGGTGCAGCGGTGTACTCACATAAAGTTGAGATCATGTGTGTGCACGCAAGCTAGAATTGGGTGATGAATTAGTCAAGCATGGAGTTTCTTAGCTAGCCATGCGTTTGCATGCCAGCCAGGTCAGATGCATGCTAGGCCGGGTCGTTGCAGTTGAGTGGATGGCTGGACGTGCATGCATGTAGGAATTAGTTAGGGCATCTCCAGCCGCGCCCTCAAGAAGGCCTCCCTAGGCGATTTTTTCGCGCCGGCGTCGAGAAAATGGCCCAATCGCGTCCCAGGAGCCCGATTTTCGCCGGCTTGGGCCGAAAACAGCGCCGACGGACCCAGGCTGAACCCGGCGCGCTGGGGGGCGCCCGGGGGCATCGGGGCGAACTGTTTTGGCGCGAAAAAGACGCGGGCCAGCCGCGTCAGCGACTCGGCGCCTCGTCTTCCCCCAACGACCTCGGTTCCCGCGGGGAATCAATGGCAAGGCTGCCGCCGGTCAGCCTTACCATTGATTCCTCACGAGCGGCGCGTCACGGGACGGCGCGCCGACGCCTCCCCCCCTCGCACGCGTACACACGGGCGCGGCCCGGCTATAAAAGCCGGCGGCCTCCACTCGCCTGTGCCCACACCAGCCCCGCCCCTCGCCGCCGTCCAGCCCTTCCTCTCCCTACCTCTCCCGAGCGCGGCCGCCCAGCCCCTCCCTCTACCTCTCCTGAGCCCGCCCAGCCCCGCCTTCGCCATGGCAGAACGCTTCCCCGGAGATGAGGCGGCGGCCAACGGCTTCGGCCGCCGTTCGCTCCGCGAACAGGAGTCCTGACTCCTGTTCCAGGCGAACATCCCGGCGCCGCCAGACATGCGCGCCGGGCCGACGGGGTGGAGACTCAGCGCCGGGGGAGTGCCCATTCCCCCGTTGCCCGACGCTGTGGTGAAGCCGAAGTACTTTGCCGAGGAGGTCGAGATCGTGCGCGCGTCCCTCACCGACGCCGAACTCTCCCTCCCCCAGTACGCCGCCGACAACCACGCGGCCTGGGCGGCGTATTTCGAGCGCCGCCAACAGCAGCGCTTGGCGTCCACCAACGGCGCGCCGGTGGTCGGCGGCCGGCAGAACAGCGAGGGGCGCCACCTCTGGTGGGGCGTCCCCGGCCGCACACTCGAGGGCGTGCTCACGTACCTCGAGGGTGGCAACGACCCGCCGTTGGCGTACCCCCGGCGAGGGTGGCCGCCCCGGCGCAGCACCGACGCGTCGGGCCATGGGCGCCAAGGAGGTTCGGCGCCTCCTCTTCTTCCTCCTCATCACGCTCTTCTTCACACTCCTCCGGCGCTGCTCGGCGTCAAGGCCGAGCCCGCGGCAGAGACGCCGCTCGACCGGCGCACTCGCAGCGCCGGCATCGTCATCAACGAGGGCGGCCGGCGCGCCTCCTCGTCGGCTCCTCCGCGCTTCGTCAAGCCAAAGATGGAGCCGGGGCTGGCGCCGGTGAAGACGGAGCCGGGGCTAGCGCCGGTGAAGGCGGAGTTCGATGACGACGACGCGGCCCTCGAATGGGCGCGCCAGGACTCCATTGCGATGGAGAAGGCGCGCCGCGAGAAGGAGAAGGAGCGCCAGTGCGCCGCCCTACGCCGCTTCGAGGAGCGCCGACGCGGCCGCGAGGAAGGCGGGGTCGTCGTCTTGTGCGACAGCGACGACGACGACGACGCGCCGCCGCCTGTTCGCCATGGCGACGCCGGGCAGGGGTCCAGTAGGGGCACCCGCGTTAAGGAGGAGAAGGCCGCCGCCGACGATGGCGGCGACGACTTCAACCCCTTTCTTTTTTTTAGATTAGGTTAATGTAATGTTTGGCCGAATTTCGCCGAAATTTGCCATGTTTGGCCAAAATTTAACTAGTCTTTATCATAACTTCGCCGAACGGTTCTGTTTTTTTTAAGATACGCGCCTGGGGCGGCCCTAGGAGCCGACG